TGTGTGGGAATCACAGTTTTCCACTTGTGAATTAGCCTCCAGGAGACAAATCTAACACATACAAAAAGAATTGCCCTTAGCCCAAAATAAATCAGCATTACCAGCAGGCAAGGTCCAGGCCAAAGCATGCTCCTTCTATACAAGGTTGAAAGTGATATCCCATGCCTCCATGTACTGCAAGAACTCCAGTGAAAGAGAAAGCCAAGGAAGGACTAATGTTTTATTAACTGGCTATCAATAGCATTACTATATATAATTGAAAACCCAAAACTTAATTTTTTTAAAATCCGTACTCTTATACCTGTACAGCAATAACCATTTTCTCCCTTGGACAAGTGCTGGAAGAGAAACATAAAGGGTGCTCCTTGCTTTCTCTGAAAGAAGCAATGAAGGTTCAGAAATGGCTGAAATATCTCCCAAAGCAACAGGCTCTTTCATGTTCTGTTTCAGCATACTTTTTATCTCAACTGCATCACCATCATTATCATCAGCAGTTTTCAAGTCTAAATTTTCCTTGTGTTCTTGACATCGATAACTGTCTATTCTAGTAGCTTGGTAAATAGCTCCAAGAGAATGTTTGGCCCTTGAAAGTAATCCCTTTTTTGTGCCACTCTCCTTTGCTACATTCCCAGATAACTGGTCATCCATTTGATCTGAATTATCATTTTGCTTATCCAGTTTTGCATTATTTCCAGACTCTGAGGACGTTAACAAAGAGAATAAGAATGCGGTGAATGATGAAGTATCAGGCTCTTCAGCTAAATGCGCTGTGTCTTCTTCAGTAATGGACTCTAGCTGACTCGTTTTTGACTCACTGGCATTTTCCTACCAAAACAGAAAGCAAATAATTACAACTTTGCAAACCGTTTTAGAGTCTAAACATAACATTGCTATGTTATCAAATACCTATTCGGATATGACTTAAAGCATGTCAGCTATCTATCATCAGGTTCATTTTAGTCATGGTTTCTAACATCAGTCACCCCTTTAATATTCAGTGAAGTTCCTTTTCTGCTCTGTTAGCTAAAACAAGCAAGAAGAAACAGAATCTGATTCTCCTAAATCCCATAAGAAACCACAGTAGAGAAACACAGTCAGCTTCCACGGTCAAAATTCTAGCTAGAACAGTCCAATCACAGTAGTAACCAAATATCCATCCAACCTCCATAGGCAAATGATTACAACATAGAATTGGAATTTATCATCGTTAAATTAAGCTGCTGAACGCAGGAAAGAAAAAACATTTACATTGTTAAGATTATCAACTATTCATTGTTAAGATTATCAACTATCCATCTTTGAACTCAATTCAGTCTTGGTTAAAAAAAAACTTGCTTTTACTTTCCGAGGGAGTTCCTTTTCTCTTTTGTTAACTAAAAAACCAAGAAGAAAACAAACAGATAATTTCATAAACCCTTTATGTTAAACCCCGATAGTAAAATGCATTGAGCTTTCCTTGATCAAAATCCCAGTAAAAAATATTTCAGTTACAGTAATTCTTGAAAATTATTAACCAAACCTCAGTTTAATGGCAGAAATAACTCACAAAAGAAACGAAAAGACAGATTTATAACATCAAAGGCCACAGTCCCAATAACAAAAACAAACTAAATCTTCCAACCTATCATAAAATTAGAAGTGGGTATTGAACCAATTATATATATATATATATATATAAGGTGACTTGATCATAAGTCTCAAACTTTTAAAACCAAAACATGAAAAAAGAAAAAATAAGAGAGAAAACAGAGATGGGCTTACAGGAAGTGGATGAGGACGAGGAGTCGAATGCTTGAAGGGTTTATCAGAGATAGGGTTAAGGATGACTGTGGTGAGATCAGACACAAAGTGGACTGATTTGCTCCTTAACGACTTTTGCTGTTTTCCCATGGTTTTTTTTTTTTTTTATAACAACAAAATGGGTAGAGAATGGATTTCCACCACAGACCAAAAAAAAGAAAAAGAAGACTAAATGCTTGACAAATAACGCTAAAGGAGATTCTGTTTACATATTATTCCTTTTATATTCTCATGACAATGGCATCCCCAACTTTTCTTTCCTTAGTAGGTTCAGCAACAGATGCGCGTAGAAAGGCCTTGTTTTTTCTCTATCTACACATAGAAGCAGGCAGGAGGGATTTCTTGGTAAAGAGGAGATGGAAGGGAGAAGATTGTGTTCCAAGTCCTGTCTTGCTAAAAAATGGTGACGATAACTGATGGTGCACCACTTGAATTGTGTATTCATATAGGGCATTACATTCGACATCGACAAAAGGACTCCATGGCCCAATGGATAAGGCGCTGGTCTACGGAACCAGAGATTCTGGGTTCGATCCCCAGTGGAGTCGCTTGCTCATTTTCCATTTCCTCAAAATAATTTTAAAGAATGCTGTCTGGTTAGAACCTTCTTATGCCTCACTGCTCATGGATATCTATTACCCAATCAGCAAAGAATTTTTTTTATATGTGTGTGTGTCTATATATATATATATATAAAAGTAGATATCTGAGTCGGCTCTAGCATGACCTGTTTATTTACTGAAAAATAATATTTTTTTAAAAAATTAATTTAAAAAAATAAATTATTTTTTAATTTAATAGTGTAATAAAAAATAAGTAGGAAAATAATTTTTAATATTTGGTTATGAACTAGAAAATAACTTATTAATATTTTATTTTTCTCAAGTTTATTAAAATAATAATAAAATCTTACAAATTAAATATTTGAATGAGGATGAAATTGAAAAAAATAATTTCATAAATTATCTTAAATAAAATAAATAATAATCAAAATAATAGAGATCAAATCTAAAAAATTAAAAAAATAAAAGATGAAGAAATTAAAATAACAATAATCAACATTTCATAAATTATTTCAAATAAAATAAGTAATAATAAAAAAAATAAGGATCAAATTTGATAAATAAAAATTTTTAATAAAGAAATAATAAGAAAAAAGCAAATAATAATTATAAAAATAAAGATTAAAGTTAATATAAAAATTAAATTTTAAGAGATAAAAATTGAAAAATAAATATTCAAAACAAAATATATATAGCAATCAAAAGTTTAAAGATCAAATTTGATATAATCAGTAAATAATAATATTTCTAAATTTTTCATAACTTCTAGAAAAATATTTTTTAAAAAACTAAACCAACTTCCAACGTTTTAACAACTAGCTTCCATAATATCTGATAATATGAACCTTAAAAATATCATTAAACCTTACAGATAGTCTCAATCTTAGTATTAAATAATGCGATTTGATGAAAAGAATAGCACTTTGACTTCTAAAGAGAAATTAAGAAAAAAATAAAAAAAAAAGAAAAGAAAACGTCGAGAACGAGTAGCCGAGTCAGACATCAACCAGTACGTTTTTTGTGGCTCCACCGTCCAACCACGTGAATGCAAAGGCAGGCAGGCAGGCTCCACAGACTCGAATCGACAAATTCGGTACAACCACTTGATAGCAATCCAACGATGGATAACATAGCCATGTGCACTTGCTTCTTGTCCGTTCAAAAAAGTAGGAATTAATGTTGTTAATTTAAAATTTATTATTTAAAAAATAAATTAAAACAAAGTTATTTTAATTTATTTTTTAAAAATATTTTAACCAAGGAGGTTAGATTACAGATTAACTTGTGAGTCAATCAGATCACACGCTAATTAACTCTTAAATAATTTAATTTAAAATTAAATCCAAGCAAGAAGCTATATTAATGCATCATTAGTTTAACATGTAAGGGATGGAGCAAGATTTGAGTTACAGTCGAGAGAATCATTTTTAATTATTTTTTTAATAATTAATGTAGATTTACACTATTGTTTTTCAAAAAAAAATAAGAAAAAAAATAATGAATTGAGGTTATGTTTTATCCGTGCTAGCAGGTTAACTGAGTTTTCTTTTTTTAATTTAGGCTAATCAAAATTATAAATCAATCAAGTTTTAGATTAGCCAACTACAATCATTGGATTTTATAATTATAGATATAATATAAATTTAATAACCTACATGTTGATTATAAATCAATCAAGTTTTAGATTAGCCAACTATAATCATTCGGTTTTATAATTATAAATACAATATAAGTTTAATAACCTTTAAGTAGATATGTCAATTTTTTCAATTAAACCTTAAAATTAAAAAAAAATTCAACTTTATTCTAAATTGAATCTTTTCATAAAATAATATGGCATGCAATCGTGTGTTTGATAATATGATAGTGTTTTTTTAAAATATTTTTTTATTTAAAAATATATAAACTATTAAAAAATACAAAAAAACTAAATTTAAAAAAACATGATTTAACCATAATATTAAATAACCATTGAACAATCCAAATTGCAACGAAAATCATTCAAAATTTTTCCAAGATCTAAATTCACCCATATAATAAGGAACAGTGATGTTTGTGAGAGAATTTTTGAAAATTTGAAAATTAACTTTTTATTGGATGAACTTGGCAGGCTAATAACTTTAAATAACTAATATCAAGATAATTTTAGGCATATGGAATTAGACAAAGTGGAATGCTACTTGAAGAGATAATTTTGATTTTAATCTCACTTATAATGGTGTCCATTACAAGTATGAAGCAAGATAGAAAAAAAATAAAAATTTAGTTTGTTCCGTAACCATATGTCTAATCCCTCCTCTCGTCAAGTTACCTCTCCACTGAGTTTGATCTAGTTGCACTTGCTCATCCAAAATACAGTAAATCACAGGGGAGGAAAGGGCAACATCTTGTGAGAGATGATGAATTTAGGATGGAATTGAAAGCTTGTTTGTGGCCGGGGATGGATTAGGATGGGATTGAAAGCAGTTTGTAGTTTGGGGTGAAATGACAAATCGGTTTTACATTTTTTTGCTTGATAACAGCACTACTCCAGCTAAAATCATCATGACGTGACCACATTCATTATTGTCTTTGTCGCCGATAAAATAATGAAAAGCTAGATAACGATGAGCGGGGATTGCGATGATTTTTTTACACAATCACTTTTTTGGCATTGAAATAACTTTTATTTAATTTTCTTTAATTCTTTCCTTTTCATGCGCTATAAAACAAGCTTGGAGGTCATTATGTCACCCATCGTTTCCGATTCTTGGCAAACAATAAAACGGAGAGTGAAAACAGAGTGGAGAGTGAAAACAATGGCGTCCCTTAAAGTTCCTGCTTCTGTTCCTCCTCCTTATGAGGATGCTGAGCAGCTTAATAAAGCTTTTAAAGGTCTCCCCTTTATAATTCTTCTTTAAAGACTCATCACTCTTTTTAATACTTTGTGTTTGATCATGTTGGTTCTTATGTTCCGTTCCGACTTCTGCACTTGGTTATTTTGCTTGCATGATGGATCAATCCTCTCTCTTTGTTTGTTTTGTCCATCTTTGTTGGGATTTGATTGTGGGTTGCTCTGATGGGCCATAAGATGCAGATCATAATGTAAACTAACATTCTTTGTTACATAATTTGTTAATCTGTGGTTGAAAATTTTGATTTCGATTCGTTTTCTCTTAAGAAAGGGTTAGATTGACTTTTTGAGTCTAACATGAAATGAGTGGTATATGATCCTGCAGATATTTTGTTCAGTGTTTGATTTCTATACTGATCTCCATTTTAAGTTCTTGAGTTTGATCTGCTGAAATGACAGCTTGATTATTTTCTATGGAATAACATTAATTGTGCCTGGTAAATTATTTGTCTTCATTATATTTCTAGCTACTTTCTTCATGTTGATGTCGAGAACCGACCAATCATCGTATAAGATAATGGAGTCTTCGCAAATTATTTGATGTTGATGTTGTAATTAGGACATAAAAAACTGATCTTTATCCATTTTTTCTTTGATGTATTGTCCTCTTCTCGTACTAAATGTATTGGTACTAACGTTCTTCTTTTTTGGTTTGCAGGATGGGGTACAAATGAGGGATTGATTATCTCCATCTTGGCTCATAGGAATGCTGCACAACGCAACTTAATCCGACAGGTTTATGCTGAAGCTTACGGGCAAGATCTCCTTAAAGATTTGGACAAGGAACTGTCTAGTGACTTCGAGGTCAGTCTCGTGCATCTTATGTTAGTTTTAAATTTTTAATTAGTGCGATGCTTCCTCTCCAGCAAAATTAATTTTATGGCAACTAAGGCTTTTGATGGCAGACCCTTGTCTCTTTTGTGGCAACAATGGAAAAGTATTGCATTGACATTGAGATTGCTAATATATTTTTTTCTCAAATTTTGTTCAAGCAGAGGGTCGTGTTGCTATGGACACTGGATCCTGCTGAGCGTGATGCATATTTGGCCAATGAAGCCACAAAGAGGTTCACTTCAAGCAACTGGGTTTTAATGGAAATAGCTTGTACTAGGTCCTCACATGACCTTTTTAAGGTGAGGCAAGCATACCATGCTCGTCACAAGAAATCTCTTGAGGAAGATGTTGCATACCACACAACTGGAGACTTCCGCAAGGTAATGACTTGAACCTCGTGAGCATTCTGTCAGGGAGATTTTAGCTCATGGCAGTTGTGCTAGTTTGAATCATATCTGTATGAGTAATTCATTTTTCTTGCCTTAGAATCCAAATGTACTTTTTACACAAGTCTTGAGTTTTGATTGATCTCCTCTTAGACTTATGGTACCTCATTACCGATATCAATTCTGAATCGCTTAGTTCTGTGTTTATAATTGTTATGAGCAGCTGTTGGTTCCCCTTGTAAGTGCATTCCGATACGAGGGAGAAGAGGTGAACACGATGTTGGCAAAATCAGAGGCTAAGACACTTCATGAGAAGATCTCAGATAAAGCTTACAGTGATGACGAAATTATCAGGATTCTGACTACAAGAAGTAAGGCACAGCTTAATGCAACACTTAATCACTACAACAATGCATTTGGAAATGCCATCAACAAGGTATTGTGATCTAATGTGACTTCTATCAGTTATTCTTTGTGACCATTCTCAATGCAGAATTCGAGTTGGTCAATTATGATCTCAATTTTATTCAAGGGGCAAATAAAAATAACAAATTTGCAATGAAGTAATGAATATCTATAACAAGCCAATTTTTTTTATCTAGCTCTTGAAAGTAATAAATTTTCTAAATGTATTCTAGAAATTTGCTTCACTTTGAACTGACAATGGCAAATCTGGTTGCAGAACTTGAAGGAAGATGCCGATAACGAGTTCCTTAAATTACTGAGAGCAACAATTAAGTGCTTGACCTACCCTGAAAAATACTTTGAGAAGCTTCTGCGGCTGGCCATCAAGAAGATAGGGACAGATGAATGGGCTCTTACTAGAGTTGTAACCACCAGGGCAGAGGTTGACATGGAACGTATTAAGGAGGAATACCATCGCCGAAACAGTGTTACTCTTGCTCATGACATTGCTGGAGAGGCTTCTGGAGATTATGAGCGAATGCTTCTTGCCTTGATTGGCCATGGAGATGCTTGAGCCATTTCTTGTGGATGCGGAAGAGTTGTGCTTTGTATGAATGTTGTTTGTGTTGCTTTTGCCGGACACAATCTTCCTGACGTGAGCTATTTCTGAGTTGTTTTTTTATGTTACCAAAATAAAATTAAGCATATGGATGGAATTTCTTGCTATTTCTGCACGAATCATACTTCATGTAGTTCCATCTAAATTTCATGGAAAAAAAATAGTAGTCAAAAGAACTATTATAAATATAAATAACAGATTTTAAATTCAATTTAAGGTATGGCTAGTGTTGATTTAGTTTGATTCAAATTAACCTTAGTTTTTTTTAAAATCAAAATAACGTAGTTTTCTTTTTAAAAAATAATTTTTAACCGGGTTTTTTCTATATTTAAAGATAATTTACGTTTTTGTCTGTATCCACCGGGTTCTAGGTTGAGCCAGTGAGCTGGTATGATTTTCTTGACTATGATGTTCACAAACCCATAAATCTGGAATCGTCGATAAACCAAAATAGATTTACTATTATACTAATTGAACCATCGGACAGGCAACTAGCTGTGTTCTATCAACTTTGACTCTTCTGGTACGTTGCGAAAAATTTAAACAGTTTTACCTAGTTGTCTTCATACTTCAAAGCGTGATGCTCGCACTTTTTTACACGCTTTTAACTTGTCTTTAATACTAAAGCTTGTACTTGTTAATAATCATCCGAGGTTCCACTACAAAGAGTGAAGAGTAGCGTATTTGAAATTTTACCTTTTTATAATTTATTTTAATATTAAAATATCAAAACAATCTAAAAATATTTAAAATATTATTTTAAAATAGAAAGATTTTTTTTCAAAAATGCAATTGAACCATAAAAACAAACACAACTGGAATTCTTTATTAAATTTCGATAGCTGGTGCAACACGTGGTTGAGGAAAACAAATTATTTTGTACCTAGACAACAACATTGATCTCCCATGTAAAATGTTCTCTTTGAAGAGAAAAGGGAACATAGGTTTTTATCTTGCTTGAGTTGAAAATGTTTCCTTCAAGAATAACACTCCTAACTCTTAGCAGTAAGAGTCAAGATGTAAGAGACTTGCCAATTTACCATGAAGTAATGTTTTTCTAAGCAGGAAAACTCTATTTCTTCTGAAGTTGGGTGAGACAAACAAGGAGAACCCTTGGATCAAGGGACTCGATCATGGATCCTTTTGTCAACGATCCTCCTGCATTAACGCACCTACTTTTCTGGTCCCTTGGTCACCCGTTCTCAACGGTCTCTCGTTATGAAACGTAATATAATATTAAACAAAGAAGAAGGTACTGTGGGTGTTTGTTGGTGTTTGACCCTCTTTCTTTCATTTCATTTCAATTCTTTGGGTCCATCGTGTCATCATTTCATGTTTTCGGTGGATCGGAAATGGATTTAATTGAAAAATAAAAAGATAATGTTTAAACTTTATAATAAAATGAATTGAGAAATATATGAATTGATAAAGAAAAAGAAAGTTGCTGACGCCAAATTAAAGACTAAAACGAGAAAGAAAGAAAATTCAAGCCTTCACTTAGGCAGTTGTATCTTCTCGGTCTCTTTCAATCAATGCTGTTCTTTGTTTCGAGCTGGTCTTTGGCTTTTTGCCTTGTCCCTTCTCCTGTTCTTCCTTTCAGAACCAAACGGAAATTATTCGTATTATTGAATGTTTTGAAGTTATATTCATATCTGAATGGATTATTGAATGTTTTGAAGTTATAAATATCCACCATTTTTAATTTTCTTGGTCAATGTTTCTCGGTTAAGATACACCTTCTATACACAGAAATTATGCATCACAACATACAGCAGTTCCTGTACTGTAAAGTTAGCACTTACGTAAATACAAATTAATAGACCATAATTAAAGAGTTAATTACAAGAGCACAAGTGTTTTGGAGAACAAACCCTTCTTTGAAGAGTCCAATAAATCTAATTTCAATATCCTGATCATGCATATACATACATTCATGACTACCATGCAAGCATGACAAAATCTCCACATGCCCAATCAAACAATTGTGAAAAGCATGTAGAAGAAATGTCGACACCAGATAAGTAGTGGGTACTTAATTTGCCAACCATTGGTGCTTATAGTGCTTCCATAGCAACCACTAGGGCAAAAATTTCATAATCTTCACATCTGCACCTACTATCCTTGCAGCAACCACATTCATCCCTCTTCCTCAACCTGCCATCTCTCCTGTTCTTCTTCTCCATCTCTGCCATTTCTGGAACTGTAGCTCTCATTGCTATTTGCACTGAAGGAGGCTTGACGTCGTCAGGAACACTACCCTTCTTTGGAACCAACATAACCCACCTCTCCATTTCCAAATTTGGTGATTCAAGAACTGTTCTCCATGGAACCTCAGCTCTACCTAGGAGTTGTGACCCTCCTAATATTTTAGCAAGGATTGGATTTGTGTTTCTCCATCTGAGCTCGAAAACTACAGTCTCTTGCTTTAGGTTGTTGATGGAGTCTTCAGTGCCTATACACTCCAATGAGAAGGACTCGTTCCAAAAGAGGTTGGACTTTGAGGAGATTTCTCGGCTCTTCAGTTGGATTCTTTTGTTCTTTCCTGCAGAGAGATAGTATCTAACAAAAAGGCTCCCATGGGACTTGACTTCTATATTTTTTGCTTGAAAGATTTCTATTTCAATGCTAAGACAAGTACTCATGCTACGTTCAGTAGCAGCAACCATTTTAAGAAGGTTATCTTGAGAAGAGAAGCTTTGGTTTGTTTTTGATTTATTTGGTGAGGGGAAGTTATGGGTTATGGAGTGGAATATATAGATGCATGCAAGGATATTGGACGGATGGTGGCATTTGCTTTCGAGGAAGCTGCTTCCATGTATAAAAAAATGTGCAGTGCGGAGAATATAACCCACCAAAACCCTAGTTGCAAGGGAAATTTAATAATGTCATGAAATAAGAAGTGAATCACATGAGATTACATTGAATTTAAAATAATCTCTTGCGAATCATGAAAGGGTGGATATATATCTTAATTTGACCCTTCCAAGCACGAAAGTATTGGGTCACAGAAGTTTTGCCATTCATGAGATACCTAGATGGGTTCAAGATTAATTCTGTGTATATTTGGCAACTTGGCATGGAGAAAGACAAGACTATAAAATCTTTTTGATCCTTTTTTTTTTTAAGAAATAATTAGGAGGTTCACTACACAAATCTATTTTTTCCCCTTACATTGATAATTTTCCTTACAACACACGAGCACACGAGTGCTCAAGATCCTGTTATGAAAGAAGAAGAAGAAGAAGAAGAAGACAAGAGTCAAACATCCAAAATAAGGAAAGTTTTTCTCGGTCGAGATCCTCTTATCTTCTTTTGGTATTAGAAAATCAACTATCTTTGTTTACTGGATCTGTGGAAAACGATCCTACAAGACGTACTGAAAATTGCTGCTATGTATAATTAGCAATTTAGCACAACAGTTTAAATAATATATATAATCTCACGATTCTAGGATTTCACTCGGCAACAAGTCGATTATCTTCAAATGCAAAATTAGGTAAAACTGGACCATTAATTGTCAGCACAAAATAACAAGTATAGAAAACTATCGACATCGCAAGAATCTCTTTCTGACAGTACTTGTTGCACGAGCTAAATGCGTATCTTAAAACCTTGAGCTAAATCTTCTTTTGAGCTTATCAGACAGCAAAGTTATTCGACTTTACAACTCAGAAGGTCCAACGAAAAGATCGCATCCCTTGGATATCCTCAAAGGATATCCATCACTCTGATAATTGGTGTGTGCAATAACTGTGAACTCTTCTTTCTTTCCACCCCCTACATAAAGAGAAAGTTCGATTCAATGGTGAAGAATGGCCCTTTGTGATTAACACGTTGGCAAGACAGCACCAATGCCGTGAGCTTATCTACTGCCAACCCAATTGAAAACACCTCCATGCGCGCGATGTTAGCCAGCTCAGTGATTTCTTGGTTGCCAATACCACACGAGGAGTCCCGCGTTTTAGTGCCCAATGATCCGCATTGATAGTCCTGATTATTTTATTAAATGGAAAAGCAAAGATGGATACGATAGTTGTTGATGCTTATCAACGTTACTTGCTCAGTCTAATCAGGGAAGCCATAAAAAAAATCATGTTTAGCAAAAATTTGGATTATTTTTGTTTGTTTAAAATTAAATATTTTTGTGTTTTTATAAAAAAACAAATATTTTTAATATATTTCAAACGAAAAAACACAACTTTCCCACAATCTTAAATACCCCTCAAGTACGCTGCCCTTCCTAAATTCAATAAAAGTGAAATTGCAAAGACATAGGGAAGACAGAAGACGGGTAAATTTTTTCCTGCGATTTTATTCATGGGCCAACTTTAATAATTTAGGCATTCAATTCTTACAATATAAACGCGCAGCGATTTTTCAATTAATAGCCCAAGAAATTAACTTGATGAACAAAAAAAAAAAAAGGCCTGTACATGGAGATTTCTATATATCATACGATTTCAGACTTGATTCCTAACAGTTTCTCCAATAACCTTGTGTGATTGACTTGTCTTTGTGGGCCCTGTGGACGCTTTGAGCAGAATAACTACACTTGCCGTATATGATCAAGATTATCAATTCTTCAAGGCAAAATAAAAACATGCCGGATTCATAATTTTGAGTTTAAATGACCACGACTTGAGATACACGGAAACCAATGAACTCCGCTGACTGCCCAAATGACTTCGTTCCTCTACACCGTCTATGAGGTCTGAGCCCATCTCACGTGCTCTAGTTACACAACGGCAGATGCTATCGTCAACTCATTGCTTAATTGCACGAAGCTCCCAGTGGCCCTCGCCATCAATAAGCCGCAATTCCAGGGAGTGGAATGGGATGAGAGCAGGACGCTGTCACACATGAGAGCATAATCAGTGAAGGAAAAGCAGTCGTCTGATTAGTAGAATACAGTCACGGTAGCTAGGGTGCTTAACTGATAACTCGCAAAAATAAACACAAACAGTGCTCTCGAGCAGATCAATTATGCAGTAAATAATTACCACCAATTATCAACGCACCACTTACCTGAGAGGAGGTAATAAATGTGATGCCCATGTCACTAGCAAGCCTATAAAGTTGCTCCTCAACATCAACACTTGTTGCACTGCCACCAAAAAGCACATAAAAAAAATTAAATACTACAAGGTAGCTGGCAATATTTCTTTAAAGCTTAACAAACGCCTAGTTTGATGACATACTTGGTGCACTCATCAAGGATGGCAAATTGAGGCTTGTGAAAGAATAGGCGGGCCTAGAAAGAAAAGAAAAGAAAAATTGTGTCAAACAGTTAAAAATACTGAGATATGTTACTCAAACAAACTAAATTTGAACTTCATTAGCTTCCTCACCATGCCTAATCTCTGCTGTTCTCCAAGAGAGAGAGTGTCTTCCCAATTCATATTTGCATCCCAGCCGCCTTCTCTCTCCAAGAGATAATTTAGCCGAACATTCTCCAGAATATTTTTCAAACATGAGTCCAGCACGTTTGTTATTTCGGTGGATAGCTTGCCTGAGATTTTGCCCAATTATTATCCCCCAGGAAAACAATTGATTAACAATGTCAGAAATCCAGAAAATTGAAATAATTGTTAATTTGTTACAATAGATCGTGAATGAAATCAAGCTCTTTCTGCTGTAAAGCTACTGGAAAACCAGTAGAAAATCTAAATTCACTTAATTCTGCAGTTCAACTTTAATCACTGTCTAGATGTCAACAGATGAATATAGCAGGGAGCCGTAGAGAAACAAAGAGCTTTAGATCAATATCTCAAAAATTCCACACATAATTTTCAGTGCAAGGATTCAGTAACAGTTGTATTCACTATATACAATTATACCTTCAAATTCAGGATAGCTTAGGATGTATTCCCTCTCAATCTTTTAAGCAAATTTATAGTCTGGAACGAGTGAAGTGTCAGACTTTGCATAATTTCACCCGTCAGCCAGTAGCAGCCAAAATAGAAAATAAGAGCAAATGAAAAAAAAAAAATCTTTTTAATAAAGGGGCCTTTCTTTTGGCTATTTCAAGTAGAGTTTCAAAAGTTGATGTTGGAACATCTATCTCTGTCCGTTTCCTTTCTTTGGGAATATTAATAAAACTTAAATTCATCCTTCATAATAAATTGGATGGTTAAAATTGAGACAGTCGGGTGCCTATATACACTCATATGTAATGCTATAGCCACTAGCCATCCATGAAATGGATTCGAAAGAGGTGGACAACAGATGCAATGCTACATATTCAACTTAACATGTACATACAGGAGACATGAAAATAGAAACTAGAGAGCAAAACAAGGAAAAGGAATTTGTGCAAGTATGTTACCTTTTTCATACAACTCTAGTGCCATGACTTCTGCTTCATCACGAGAGAGAGGATAGATAATTTGATCTCTCAGGGTTCCCAAGCATGTATATGGTCGTTGAGGAACATAGAAGACAGCACAACCTGATCCAGTCTCTTTACTAATATGTTGCGATGGTTTAGCAATCCTACCACTAGCAATGGGCCAAAGACCTCTGAGGACTCTAAAAACAGAACTTTTCCCACTCCCATTTGGACCTTAATAGTTTGACATGCATATCAGGTGTGCAATTGAAATAACAATAGCCTGTTTGATAATATAACAGTATAACAAGGTACATAAGAAATCACTTCACTAACCAGTAAGAAGCAGGCTTTTTCTTTGTTCTATGTCAAATGTCAACTGCCTCGCCAACAATTTCTGTGCTGGAGTAATGATATCGACCTCCATAAAGGACATGGCATCTTTTGAGTAAAGTTCATTGTTCTTAGATGGAGATAGTTTACTATTCAAAGAATCCCCTGGGCAGGCAAAAACTTTATAAGGAAACTATAAGAGTAAATGTAGACCTTTTAAGAAATAGAACCAAAAACCTAACAATGGTAATGGACTCTTCGCACCGGCAATAGTTATTTGCATGATATAGAGAGAAAAATAAGCTTGGTATAACAAGAGCAGTCATATTGGAAGAACTGTGCGCGCGCGCGCGCGTGTCTGTGTCTGTGAGAGAGAGGGAGAGAAAGAGATCCAAATGCTTTCTGATGAGACACTCCATTTTACAAACAAATCCCAGTTCAATCCCACAGTATCCAGATTTATCTTCTTCAGAGACACTTAAAGGAACTTTGATTTGCTTAACTCTCTCCAGCATTGCACTGAAGAGGAAATTATCTCAAACAAGTTTGTTTCTTCTTCTTTAAGGTTTAAGCTTCTAGACTGCTACCATTGGTGACTACTACTGGCCATTTATGAAATATGAACAACAACAATTCTAACAGCAATTAGTTTTTTAGTGACCACCATCTATATGGAAATGTCCCCATGCAAGCTTGAACTCTGGCAAGAATTATCCTTCTAGATAGGAACGTGATATTCACTACAACCAGACCATCACCTGGGAAGCAGACAGGTATACATCTCAAAGACATAAGGCAGATCTCTAGAACTTGAAGCACTTAGTACTGCTTAAAGTCCCCGCTGCTTAAAGCCCATAACAAAGATAAGCTAGATAAAACTAATTGCTGCTGTTGCAGCACTTATAGTGTGCTTGTATAAGCCCAAACCTTTGGGAAGGGAAAAAGGATTGAAGTACATGTGCAAATACATTAATGTTACATGCTATTCTATATATATTAGAAGTCAAATGACAATAAGATACTTTTGCAATCAACAGTACATTCAACCCTTTCATAAGGCATCTCTTGCGCACACCCATGTTTTTCATCAGTGGCAGAACCAGAAAATCTCACTAAATCAGCTTCTTCTATGAAAAAGCAAGCATATTTGGGGAGATTTGAAATGAAGGAAAGCAGAATTGCCAAGAGGCTGGAATGGTAGACTCC